CGCCCTCCCCCGCCGGGCCCCAGCGCCAGCTCTTCGGCTGCCGAGAGTCAGGGGAGCAGCCAGGGGCAGCAGGGCCAAGATCCAACCGGGAGCCCGGGGGCAGCAGGTGAGTGGAAGCCGATCACAGCCCCATGGGGACTCCAGCGGCTCTGCCTAGCCCAGTGGAGGAGGCTGCAGCCTGGGGGCCTCTCCAAAGCCAGCCTGGCCCCGCGGGTGGGGTTGGTAGCTCCTCTTCTGGTAGAGCGATGGGCATCTTAGAGGGCCTGGCACGGGGCCTCTCTAGCCTGCGAGGGGCCTGGCTGTGTCTTCATGGCCAGCCAGCTCCTGGGGAATGTCCGCCCCGCCCCAGGCAGGAGCTGCTCTGTCTGCCCCCAGCCCAGGTCCCTGCACCGCTGGGCAGTGAGAGGAGTCTGATGGGCACTCCTGCTCCCATCCAGTCTACTATTCCCGGGGCCAGGGCAGGACAGGTCCCTGTGTGCTCTGGTCTCCACCCTCCTAGCACAGCGTGGCTCCTGCAAGGTAGCTAAGCACCCTCTGCCCCCAGCACAGGCTCCAGGGTGCCCACCTCAGGCAGCGAATCGTGTCCCTCCCCCGTGTGTTCGTGGCTCAGCAGCGCCATTCGAAACAGTCAATTCTGAAGTGTAGGAGGCTTCTGGTCTCCAGGGCTGCCAAGCAGCCTGCCAGCAGCATAGATTTAGGGGGCTAATCTGGCGGGGCACTGTTGCCTACTGGGTAGAGCCCTGGGCTGTTCCCAGCACCACCACCGGCCTGCTGGGTGATCTCAGGGGAGTCCGTTCCCCTCCTGCTGCCTCAGTTTTCCCATCTGTGATAAGGTCCTGCCCTCCTGTGTAGCACGCTCTCCGGGAGCTAGGCGCAGTGTTGCTGCTGGTTCTTCTCCAGGCCCCGTGCAGGGCGTCCATGCTGCTCCGTCCCTCAGAAGAGGCCGGGTGAAGCCAAGCAGGAGACGGAGATCGCAAGGCACCGCGGGGAGGTAAGAGCAGCCCTGTTGTGTTCCCCTTAACCCGCCAAACGTCCCCATTCCCCCTTCAGAGCCCAGCTGGCCGCTCCTCTGAGCCAGGCCCCACAGCGCCTTCCTGGGGTTCCTGTCTCCATCACAGCCTGTAGGAAGGGAGGAGGGGGATCCTGGTCCTCTGGGCTGTCTCAGCAGGCAGAGCAGTTTCTCTGTGCCGGGCTGTAGTTTAACCCTTCGGCGCGTGGCGCTACAAACCTGAGAAACCGCTGGACCTGAAATCTCTCTGCAGGGCTCTGCCAGCGTCCTCTGGCCCGCAGGGAGGAAGAGCCCGGAGCCGGGGAGGGAGGCCCGGCCGGCCGGGTGATGGTGGAGAGGCAGATGGGGAGATGGGGACGTGCCCCCTCTGTGCAGGTGAGTGTCCTGGCGTGTGGGCTGGAGCTGCTGCTCCATCACGTGTCCTCCTGCCTAAATCGCTCTCTTTGGAACCCCCTTCGGGTCTGTGACACGCAGAGGGGCTGTGCGGCCCCTGAGATGCGGCCAGCTCTTGGGTGGAGCATGGCAGGCCCCTCTGCTAACCCAGCAGGGTGTAAAAAGAAGAGTGTGCAGGGCTAGAAGGGACCGTTGTGTCTGTCTAGTCCACTGGTCTCCAACTTTTTAAAGCACGAGATCACTTTTGGAATGTAAGTGCGATCTACTTCAAACCCAAATACCCTGGCCCCGCCTCCTTCGTTTCTCTTCTCTGAGGCCCCGCCCCTTCTCACTTAGGACTCCCTCCCACCGGGCAGAGGGTTGGGGCACCCGCCCTGGCCTTGGGCTAAGGGAGTTGGTGTGTGAGAGGGGCTCTGAGCTCAGCCTGGGGCAGGGAGTGAGGTGCAGGAGGGGGGCTCGGGGTACAAGCTTTGTAAGGGAGTTTGGATTCTGGGGGCTGGGGTGCAGGAGGGCGTTCATGACTGGGGCAGGGGTTTGGCGTTGGCTCCAGCCGGACACTGTTTACACTGGTGGCTCCTGGGTGGGGGTGCAGGGGGCTAAGGCAGGCTCCTGTCTACCCTGGCCCTGCACCACTCCCAAAAGCAGCCAGCAAACTCCCTCCATCCCAAGCCTCATTGTGCCCTGCCCTCCGTTCTGTGGAGATAGGATACAGGCTGGGAGGGGGCACCCTGACACCAGCACCCCCTCTTCCCGCCCTGCCCTGCCCAGCAAGCAGGAGGCTCCCAGAGGCTGGGGGAGGCAGCCCCCAGGGAAAGGGCAGGAGAGGAGCAGCAGTGGGGAGAGGGGGCAGCTGAAGTGCCGGCACTTGATAGCCTCTTGGCCAAACCGGTCAGGATCCCCTGTCAGAGGCTCCAAGATCTGCTGGTAGATCCCGATCGACTGGGTGGTGACCCCTGGTCTAGTCTGAGCGGCAGCAGAACCTCGCCCCAGGAGTACGCCAGAGCAGGGCCCGCCGACGTCAGCGACCAGCGATACCCCGGAGAGCCACAGCCGGG